TGTTGGGCATATGCTCGTAGATTAAAATCTTTTCATCTCTTTCAATGCAGCAGCCCAGTAGTCTCACAAGATTCTTGTGTTGAAGTTTTACTATGAGCATAGCCTCATTATGTAATTCCTCTAATCCTTGTCCAGATTTTCTTGAAAGCCTTTTCACAGCCACCTCATATTCTTTTAGCAACTTTCCCTGATATAGAACCTTCTTAGCTTGTTTATGATCTATGGAAAACTAACATCAAACACTATCCGAAAATAACATATTATTAAGTAAACATGGACTCTCAAAAAATAAAACATAGCTCTATGTATCAATTGGGACTGAACTACTTGGTGGGATCAAAATGATTTCTGTTTAGTGTTCAACATCCCTAAAGAATCATGGTCACTGATGTTGAATGTTACCTTGTAAACCGGTCCAAAACCACCCTCTCCGAGCTTATTTGTATCAGAAAAGTTATCAGTAGCAAGAGAAACACTAGCGAAACTGAACAACGGTAAATCAACTTCCTTCTTTCCACCAATAAGACTCTTACTGGTTCCAATGCTTGTACCAATATCGAATAGCATCAAATCCTCCCCCACTTGACAAAAGAAATATAGGGGCTTATTATTAATTTTTTTTTTTGGGGGGAATTATATTTGGGCATTTGAACTTATATAGAAGCACAAGGACTAAGTTTTACTATATATATATATAAACCTCCCGTGGATTGGTTTAGTATTGTCTTCCAAAGAGTGAAATGCATACCTCTTTTCTGTAATGTTCTCCTCCACATACAATAAACCAAGGCTGATAGAGTCATAGAAACTGCTAGCACCAGAATTAACCATTTCCACCACTTGCTTCTTGAATATGAAAAATGAGTTAGGTGGACTGAATTCATTTTTATCCAAAACAAAGTAATTAATTTCTGTCACCATGCCACCAAAACAATTGAGGCAATTCCATTATTCTTACCTCTACTAAGAAACTCAGAATCAGCAAGTTTTAGATAGAAATCTCTCCCATCAGGGTCATCATTTGTCAGCTGTTCCACATTAAAGAGATCTTCACTCCATATTGAACACCCATCACTGCCATAAGCATAAGCAGAGCAAGAGGAGTTACTCAAGCAAGCTGACTTGCAGTCTGAAGCACCTCTATGTCGCAAAATTACTGGATTAATAGGGAGTCTTACTTTAGATATCCAAAGAAACTGGTCTTTCTTCCCATTGGCTTGACTTTTATTGCTGCACTGCAATGGGGCTTTCCTCACACACCCTCTTAACATGTCCCCTGCATTCCAATTTTTTATAGAAAGGGGTTCAAAACCAGGCAAACATTGGCAAATGGACGGGCCTTTTGACTGCAACTGCTAATAGCCTCACAGTAGGCATAAACCTTGCACTGCTGGCTCGGTTGAAACCAAAATAGATCCCATTGATGATTAGTTTCAGACCACAACAGCAGCTGAAGTTTCCCTGATACATCCAACACAATTATAATAGTCACAGAAGCATCAGTAACAGAGTAAGTGAAATAGCCCCC